CACCTCTATACCTCTTCTAACTAAATTGTCCTTAGTTAGGATCTTTCTTGTCCAGCACTGCAGACCAATAAAAAAAGCCAGTAAAGAGTTTAGACGGAACAGTCCTTATCCAAATCTTGTCACTTGGAAAGGAAGAAAGGTCCTCCCTCATCAAGTTGTTGTGAAATCAGAAATGGTTTTACAGAGAAGGTCCCCACTTCTCAAATAACCATTTTCTTTCGTCTTCCCCACCTCCAGATGCTCCTGAGTCATAAAGAATCTGAAGCAGACAGAACAAAGAAGCCACCCTTCCAGTCATTTAAATTCCTCCGGAATTGGGGGTTCTAAATACATTGCCCATTTTGCCTCTCTAAGTAGTCAGCCACTGTTGCATCCTTAATTATAGCAATCTCAAACAGATCAGGGAATAAGACTATTAATGAAAAATCTCCACACCAGTAATTCTTCCAAAAAAAGCTCTCTCTGACCATTGCCCACTTCATACTTTATACCCTTCAAAAACTGTGGATGAATTTTCTGAATTGCCTTCCAAATTGAACACCCATAAGAGGAATCTTACTTCTTCTGTCTCCCGCTCCCTGCTGCTGGAACCATACTCGGATACAATGAACCTTCTCCACAGACTGTCTGGTTGGTCATTGAATCTCCACAAGGCAATGTTGACCTCTTTTACTGATCTGATTCCTAAACCCCCATTTGCCCTGGAGCAACAGACTTTCTTCCAGCTCACCAGAGGCATTTTGACTCCTTCCACCCCCAACATAGGAAGTCTCTCATCTTTCTTTCTAACACAGCATCCCTACTCATCAGAATTGGGAACAAAGACAAGTAATAAACAGAAGGGAAGACAACACACTTCTAATTAGAGTGACTTTGCCCCCTTCTGATAAATATTTGGTCTTCCAAGAAGTCAATTTTCTTTCCACTTTTTCAATGATGGGCTCCCAAATGGTATAGGATCTACAATTTTCACCCAAAGGCATACCCAAGTATGTTTACCAGCCCTGCAACCCCAACCCCAATCATCAGCCCACGCTTCCAAGTTTATAACTTCAGTTTTGAGGAAAATAGAATGGATGCTTTGAAAGTGGGTGGGTGTGTTGAGTCATTTTGAGGGTATTAAGGATAGTATGTTTATAAACCAATGGGAATCACAGAGTTGTTTACGGGGGCTAATATCCTTTTGTGGATATGATGTATAGCTCACTTTCTCAGAGTTGTTTTTTGTAACCCTCTGAGTGAGGGAATCACACCCTCCTTTTATTTATCAATACAATCATGCTTCTACTTGCCTACCAAAAAAAACTTTGATAAATCACTCTCTCCTACAGTTTCATAGTGTGGCTTATAAATTGGATGCCATAGTTGTCAAGGCGACGCCTAGGCGACAAGGCACCCTTGGAGGCTTGTCTCGCCCAGTCGCCACACACTTTTGCATACTATGTGATAAAATACTTTTATATTGTTATTTTTTTGAGATTATAATTATAAAATAGACACTATTAAAGAAAAGTATTCATTTTTTGTGTTTATAAACTAATTTCTTTTTTATTATTTTCTTATTTGTTAGGGTTTAATCAACACAAACATTGCTAACTGATGTATTGAACCCTCAATGACTTCAAAATCTGAACCAATAAGGGAAGAACTTAAAATTTTGTCTAATCAACACATTTTCTTTTCTTCCACCTTTTCTTTTCTTCTTTTCCTATAACAAAAATAGGGGTTCAGCCCCTATATTTTTTGAAATTTCTTTCC